AATGCATGCTCACCGGAACAACATCATTGGATCGACCAGCATAATCGCGGTGAAAGAAAAGACACTGGTCTGTCATTGCGGTTCGTGCGCCGCTCGAATCGACGTATGGGAAGGCATATCAGTTTTCCGCGCGCCGCAGCGCTTAGAGGAGCCAACGAGAGTGCGGCACAGCAAGCCACAACCCGGCGCAGCACCCCTTCTCAGATTAGAATCTGCAATTCACCCGCATTAACCGCCTAGTCTGAGGGCTCACTCATGCACGCAGAGTAGTCTCGCACGAAAGTAGGGCCTCGCACAGTTGTTGTAGGAGTAGGATGCATTTGTAGTAGAGAATGACAGGGTATCTACTCCAACGGCGACGTCACTGGCGCTGTAGTCGCATGTCTATACGTGGAGCTCGTTGTGGATATCTTGGAGAAATATGGGCTGCGAGCGATGTAAGAACGCACGTAGATAGGATCAGTCTGTCGAAAGAGGGGGAAAGAACGCCTCTAGGCCACACCATGATACACCGTGGGAGGAACAAAGGATGGCGTCTGATTCTGGTCACCCACGAAACGCTTTGTCTAGACAAATTTGCTGACATGAAAACACTAAAAAGACATATTATAGACGCCAAAGATCAAGTAAGAACGATAACACCCAACAGGTCCCTCAAACCCCCAAAAAAGAACCCAACAACAAGCACATCCTGATGTAGAACGACTTTGCCGTAGACGTACAGTTTCTGTTGAAAATATGTCCGAAAGCGTCCAGAATATGGGCAGCTCACCTATATCGCCTTCCCAATCCGATGACCTGACCGCGTTTCTGCGCTACCTGCTGGCAGATGACCCACTACCCCACACTCGAGACTGGCCTTACATATTACAACAGAGAGTTTTAGTGATAGGCTGTTCATCGTTCGACACAACACCCGCTTCACCGTTCGGCCCGGGGCTAGATAGGACACTGCCGACCCTTTGCGTTGAGGCAGGTACCGACCGTAGCTTCAACTCATCATTGCCCTTGCATACGATGGCTTCAGTCAGTATGCGGGCTTTCTGGATGAGGTTTGAACACCATCAGAATGATGGTTGGGCACGCGCGCATCTCCAATCTTCCACTGAGCCCCAGACATGCGCTGAGGGTGATGCAGCAAGGCCCAAGCTCTTGCATGATTCGAATCGAGATATGATCGAATCGAACGCATCACACCAATCTTGACTGGCTGCGTAAGTCTGTGCCCCGCCCAATTCCAAGGCCTCCAGGTAGAAGGCAGCATCTGCACATGAAGCCTCTGTACATGGGTCGACTTGCTACACACCACTAGCTTGTGCTGTATTGGCGATCAGTACCTCGCGCGACATGCGGTGTAGATTTCGTGTCGCACCTTCATTGAGCCATGATGACTTTTTTCGATGCATCCTGCAACATCATCATCCAACTCCCCGCTAGCGATAGCTTCCGCTGTGATTGCCGGGATTGCCGCGCACCCGTTTCGTCACGCCTTCGGAGACGGCGTCTACCCCTCAACGAGGTAGCGATCCTGCGCTCTTCCTTCGCCTCTAGCGTGTAGTACGGATCGTCTGATCAACATCTCCTCGCTTGCAGGAAAGCGGTCGATGGACGCATCACTGACGAAAGGACAAAGCCCTTGCGTAGACGTTTGCAAAGACGTTCCATGCTACGCATGCAGGCGGGCAGTCGACCGTTCAGCGGCCCGAGCAGAGTTGGTGGAGGAATGCCGGTAGTGGCTGCCAGTCGCAATGGTCCATTCAACCGTGTGGTCTTCCAGACCTTCCAGCTTATCAACGCTAGGAAGTGGACTGTGCGACTCCAAGTTTCCAGCCTTCTAGAACAATGATGTCTGCTAAGCTGTGAATTGGAGCTTAACAATAGAACCAACAGTCTATCTGGAGGTGCGATGACGTTCACTGTCCCTTGATGCTGCAATTAATGGCTCATGTGTGTATGAGCGCGCGTGCATGCGACACCGCCTGCTTCGCCTCCACACCTCTTCGTCCTCAATCGTAAGGTCCAACACACCACCTCAGCTTGCAGCACGCCAACAGTGCTATTATTACCACCGCATGACGACTATTGTGATACAATACGTTGAGATGATGTTGATGGAGGTGGAAATGACCATGAGCTGGGAGACGTTGCTTGGATACTGAAGGACTTTTGCGTGCCGACGGGTAGCCCAGTCATCGGTGTGGTCTGTTATGTGCCGCTTTCCGGTATGAGAGTCGTGCTGTGATCGAATGATAGATTCGGGCGCATCGATGTTGCGATGATTCGCTGCGTTCACGATTCGGGGCAGACCCATGTTGTCCTTCGCTCAGCCGCGATGGCACTTTGGCTACGCAATACAGAGGACTTGACGCTACAAAAATTCAGAAGATACACCGTGTAACGGTGACCTCCTGAGTGCCAGACCTGAAAGATGCAGCCAGATTCCAGGAATGACACAGCTCTCACTAGAGCCATTCAACTGATGACGAACTCTGTATCCGTGTAGCTTGGTCTGTGTTGGAGAAATTCTCCCTCCATTATTCCTTCCACGTAAGCAGCATCGACTATGATGTACGTTCCATCGTTCTGTGGTCTCAAAATCAGTGGTAGGGGACATCCAAATAGGATACACACTACATCACCGCTTTGAGCTTCCATAGCCGCAGATGCAACATAGCCGCTTGTCGTCGTGAAAAGGCAACCTTTCCAGTCTGGGTATGTGCTAAAAATGGCTACGATGTGACGATATAATGACTTCGCAATGCTGAATTCTGGATCCACGGCCAAACCGCTCTTTTCCTGAGAAAGCATATGTCGCCAGGTATCGAGCGCTGAATAGCGCTGGAGGACTGCCCATTCATCCACGAGAGCTTTGGGCATCGGTGGCTTTATGTGCCGCTTCAGTTCGTCCATGCTTCGTCCATCTACAGCAACACGCCAAACGTCCCCTCTGTCTACCTTCGCGTTGACCTCGTTTGGCGAGAAGCGCTTACTCCATGCTCTTCGAGCGATATGAGTGAAGTCTTGCACTGTCTGTAAAAGCCATGGTACAAATGCATTCAGATGCTGGCGGAGGTAGAGATCATAATACATACTATTGTGCTTGTCCTCGGCCAATTCGCTGTAGCAATCGGTAAAAATCGTCTGGGTTTCAGCGACCGTTCCAACGATGGCGCCAGTGATCTTGATAGTACCCGCCTGCGCGTCATGTTGAACGCCAGAAAGACTGCGTCCAGTGCTTGCGCCTTCCAGCACTAGGTCGTAGCGGCGAAACAGATAGTCCTTGAGGCGAGGGGACAGCAGCAGTGTACTCTCCGTGAAATCGTGGGCCCAAGAAGGCTTCTCAGTCCATTTCACTTCCGAGCGCCGCACCACAATGTTCAACAAGAATTCGAGGTCTTGCCGTTCTGTGATAACGCTGACGACGGCTCTTTGAAATGCCCACGTAGCTCTTTGCGTATAATCAGGCGCGAAAGTCTCAAGAGTTTGTCTCTTTACGAGACCAAGAAGCGCATATACGAGATCCCGAGGGTCGGACGCAGATCTCCCATATGAAGCGTATATGAGGTCCTCCAGAGGTATCGTCCCAGAGCTATGGTAGTGCCGATAGACCCGTACAAAATTTGAAGCTGGATGTTCCCAACGTATTTCGCGATTTTTCTCTGCATGTAACAAGTTCGTACGTTCCACTAGGTTAATGAGATATGCCCACGAGATCTCTCGAGACCCCCACAGTACGAGCGAGTGTTCGTTGGCTACCACACCCTCTTGGATGGTCCAAACTCGCTTCCACCATTGGCTTCTGAACAGCTTCTCGAGTTTAATGTCAACATCGAGCTCTTCACTCTCGATACCCTCAAAACCCTGCTGTTGCAAGCGTTCTAGATAGTCCATGGCGCGATTGATATGTCTGCTCGCCTCTTCATCCCTCATACGGAATCTCCGAATCCCGCGATCCGTTTGTTCCACCTGATCCGAGAGTACCATGGTCCCCAGCCAGATAAGTACCCTTGACGCCGATGTGTAGATTTTATGCATCTTTTGAACCTGTTGAGACTTCTCTTCTGGATTGCTTTGGTCTATACAAACCGCATCTATCCACAGATCTCGTGTCCGGTCTTCGTATCTTACGCGTCTCAAACCGAGAGCGAGATTGCAGGTTATCACTAGCCCCTTACCATCCACTTCAAGCAGGTCTTCTCCGTTCCATTCTCTCCACACATACGAAATGGCTTCATAAGTCGGCGGAGTCGGTGAGAACTGTTCGGTGCGGAGCTTGCCTCGCAGTGGGGCATCATGATCAGATGCTGGAAGCAGACTAAAGAGCCGTATTTGAGAGAGGGAACGATCAAGCGCTTGGTAACGATAGGCCTTGTCCATATTATAAGTGCGAGCGCCAACGTACACGCTGCGGGTATATTCACTGCGCGTGAATTGTTGTGGTGAAGTGTTCTCTGCAACGTACGGAAAGCCAGCTTTTGTTAGACGAGATCGCACTAACCGAATCGGGATGATACTTGCTACATGCACCACATATCTCATCGCCACTACGATATGTCTATGAGATATCGGAATCAGTTCGCCAAGCTGAAATTGAATCATTCATCCTGATGTTTAGAGATACAAACCATTGTCTGTTGGAGATAGAATGTAAAAACCAGGCAGTTTGCGCCTACATGGACTTTGAACAGGGCGGCATCATCATTTCCACCTCGTTCGTATACTTCTAGTCGGACCTGACTTGGCAGGTCAACAAGCCTTTGAATCAGTGTATGCTGCTGGATCCTGTGATAGCTCACGTAAATTGATCGCATGTTCGTCGACATCATTCACGCTACAATGATGAGAGTCAGTCGCAGTCACTTCCAAGCAATGTTACATACACACTCACACCAAAAGACTCACCAAAAGACTCACCAAAAGACTCATCACCATGATCAAAACCAGTGCGCGGGCTACTATGTATTTCTCGTTACCAATACATCCTTTACCCAATACTGCACATGCCCTGGCCAGTGTCCGAAATACCAAACGCTTGCACTGAGCAAGCTGCTATCGTCGAGAAGACCACATTGGACAAGGAGAAAGAGGTAAAGGTAGCGCGATTGAAGAGGCGGATTAAGGGTGAGTTTGATAGGCGGCTATGTCGAACTGGTATTGACGTACACGTATGCAGACATTCTCAACGAACTTCCGCGAGAGCGAAGAGCGAACAGCGGTCAGGAGTACGAGTTCTGGATCGTGGAAAACGGCGGCCAGAAGATCGCTGAAATCCGTCTTGCAGGCGCGAGGCGGCCAATCAAGGAAGGTACAGCTGCGCGGGACGTAGTGACCGCCTACGAAAAGCTATTGGAGAAAGTCGAAGCCGAGAAGTCATCCGAACAGTAACGTTACACTGTAGAGTTTGTGGCTACAACGAGCAAAGACTTTGGGAAGGCGAGTTCGTGTGGAGGAGTCTGTGTCTACAACGAGGGAACAGTTCGCGAGGGCGAGTTTGTGCGGTAGGCTTTACGACGACAATGAGGTGAAGGGAGGGGACATCACACGCTGCTGAAGCATGGAGACGAATTCGAAGCTCGATAGCGATTCGGTAGACTGGGTGATGCTACGATGTATCCGTCAACCTCAATGTTAACTCATCCTACGAGCGGTCATAGTGACTCACCGGCTTCAAATGGTGACTTGGTATTTCGTAAACCTGCTTGCTTGGGCACCATCATGGCTTGTGTGGCGCCGGGAATCCTACTGAGTCGCCGCAGCTGCGTCACGAACTTGTAGTCAAAGTCTTGCACTACCATCGTCCGCGCCCTCTGCCTCGATCGCGCCAGTCATCTCCACCTCCTCGCCCCCCTCTACCCCCTCTTCCAAAGCCTAGCTCTCGATCTGGTGGCGCTTCACCTCTCCGCCATTCACCAAACGGTACACCACCTCCACTTAATCTTCGATCGTCGAATCTGCTTCCACCACCCCTACCACCTCTGCCGAAGCCGCCATAGTCTCCCCGTCCACCGAAGCCGTTCTCGCGCGGTCGTCCGCCATACGGTCCTGAAGGCGGTCCTCTGCCCGGTCCAGATAGTGGCGGAGGTGCAGCTGGTACACTGCCGTCGGGTAGCGGGGGAAGTATAGCGCATGCCACATAGTCGCCTATCATAAACCTGACGTCCCCCAGTGTCTTGTCTGCGTCGCCGTCAAGTTGCTTGAGAGCTTCTGTGACACTTCCTCCCTCCACGCCTTCCATATCAATGTCCTCATCCCTTGGTCGCGCGCCCACAATGACGGAGCCTATATCGCGCGATATGAATCGCCCTGGTGCGCCTGGTCGATTGGAGCCTTGTATGTCTGGGTATACGAGTCGAAACGCGATGCGCGATCCGGCGTACGGTTGCGGTAGTAATGTTGGTACTGCGCTGAGGAGTAGTGTGCATAGCTCGCGCAGACTACAGGTTTGCCATGTGTAGATTTGGACGTTGGTTGGGAGACGTGGTAGTGTTGGGTCGAACTCGTCCAGCCTTTGAGCTATCAGTACGTGTTTATGTCATACATTCATGGGACTAGGAGCAATGCGCACCTATGGAATGAGTTTTGCTTGAAGAAGAGGCGCAACAGGAAGGGTGTCGTTGTTTGACGGTCAATCTTCGCGGGGGCAGCCATTGTGAGGTCTGCAGCCTTGTGGACAGCCAGGCTAGTCAACGTATTAAGTTATTTCGAGATTCGCAGGCACGTAGCGACAATTCGCTAAGGAAAGTCGTGAGGAGGTGACGTCAGGCGCAAGATGTGAATGTGTTTGGAGAGTTTGGGGGAGAAGGAACGCGACCGGGACGCGGAGAGCTCCCACTAGCGCCTTCCTCGGCACGTACCTTCCAGCGCAGGTGAGTCTCCACGTCGCAACCAACACTGGCTCATCCTCGACACGTTGACTCATTCCATATCCCGAACATCACAGTCGCCAACATGGATTTCGCCAAGTTGATGTCCGCACATATAAAAAAAGGCAAAGACACGGCCTCACCAGCCGAACCCACTGAGAAAAAGTACCTCAAGCGCAGTGAAATCGAAGCGCAACGGCAAGCCGCATACGTCGCCGAACAAGAAGCCGCGGAGAAGGCACGGCGAGAACGTCACGAGAAGAAGCGCAAAGCTGAGGAAGATGAGGCTGAGAGGGAGGCCGAGCGCAGGGAAAAGCGCATGCGCATGGCCGAGGAATCAAGACGCATAAGGGAAGAAGAGGAAGAGGCAGAGGAAAGACAGCGGCGAAAGCGGCTAGGTCTTCCTGATCTTCCGCCTAAGAAGAAGGACGGCGAAGGAGACGGCACACCGGTCCCCGAAGATGAAGATATCGAAGACGAAGAGCTCGTCGCAAAGCTGAGAGCCCTCGATGAGCCAGCGCGGCTATTCGGCGAGACACACAAACAACGCCTGAAGCGATACAAGAAGCGCGTCGGCGCAGACAGCCTAGCAGCCATCATGACGGATGGTCCGATACCCACAACACTACAACTCGTACCGGAGAAGGACATGAAGGTCAGCCTTCAGGTACCCAAGGACAAGGAGGGTCGCGAGTTCCTCTTCAGGCAACTGGCGAGTTACTTCACCATGGTGCTGAAAGAATGGGACCTCACACTCCTACGCCGAGACCCCGAAGTCAAAGAAAGCTACCAGGGAAAACAAGCCTACGCAGCCATGGTACAAGCGCGCGAGAACATGCGGCCACTGTTCAAGAAGTTGGAGAAATTCGATCTTCCAGACAGCATCGTCGAGCCCGTTGTGGAGATTGTGCACGCGGCACAGGAGCGAAGATACGTCGACGCGAACGACGGGTATCTGCGTCTTAGTATCGGCAAGGCGGCGTGGCCCATTGGTGTTACCATGGTGGGTATTCACGAGAGAAGTGCGCGAGAGAAGCTACATGAGAGCGATAAGAACGCGGCGCATATCATGAGCGACGAAATGACGCGGAAGTATCTGCAGAGCATCAAGCGGTGTTTGAGCTTTGCGCAGACGAGGTGGCCGCCAACGGATCAGCTGCAGCTTATGGGCTAAATGATTTGGATGGACGATCGACTGTTTGTAGGTAATCGAACCACCGGTTACATCTCATTGCTTTGCACCATGGGAAAACTCACGAAAACTCTTGCTCCGGATTGCGGCAGGGATACTGAGTGCCTTGCTGATGACGTCCATAATACCATAACGTGTTATGTTCGTATGCGTGTAGGCACTCCGAGGGTTTTGAACATCGGCGGAGCCCTAGCCTAGGCATGTAGGCAACACTGCGATGGTCTAATGGAATTGAGATTCATGAGACACGCGAGCGACAAATGCGCAGAACAAATCATACAACCGCGAAATCGGAAACATTGACCAACGTGTTTGTCATGGAAGAGATATTGGGAATACATCATCGCTAATTCCCCTGGGTAGTTAATTGTGAGCTAGGCAGTCCAATATCTAGTGATTCTGAGCTTTCAATTACCACCCTTCGCAAGTTCCAATCATCGGATGCTCTTCCTGATCCACTGACGTTTCGGCTGACTCTCCTGACTCTCCAGATCAAGCACCGCTTTTCGTGTCTTCTTCTCCAAGGCAACAGCCATCTTGGCCTTTGTGTCAAATTCTCCAATAAGTCTTTCCACGCCCTTGCTCTTGTGTCTTGGACGGGCTGTCAAAGCATATGTTGAGTGTTTGGCATCCGGTTCGATCATTCCATAGTCATACGGCCGGGATGGAAACTTGTCCAAACGCCGCTTGAGAGATTTGACCTCGTTTAACACGGCCTCGGCATCAGTCCTATCGACCGGAGCTCGTACCCCACCGTCAGCCATGAACTGCAGCTGCAGTTTCAAATTCTCTATCGCTTCTCCTCTCCCAGGCTTCCAAGGGAGTACGCCGTCTGGGAACAACGTATCGTGGGAATCCGAGTCAGCCACGTCGAGGTGGTACACTAGTTTGTTTGACCTGTCTGTAGCCTTCTTGAGGATAACCTCGGGGCGATAATCGAAGGCATATGGCCACAGGCGTGCAATGAGTTCTGTTGTGTGTGAGCGAAAAGTCTTCTGAAAAGATCGATAATACCGCACTTGCTAGCTCGTTGCCCTCTTCTTTGTACTGGCCACTGAAGCACTTCCGTCTTGTTTTGTTGGACCATGTGATGTATTTATATTTATCATCTTCAACAGGAGCGTCTTCTTCCTCTAGCGATGTATCGTTGGTCGGTGAAGTATCGTTGGTGGCGGACGTATCTTGGCTGGATGAACTGGCTTCGCTCCTTCCTTGTTCTGTCGTATCACTCTCGTTGCCTCCGGCAGTAGGCTCGGCTGGCTCTGCACTCGACATCTTGCAGGAGATCACGTGTCCGCGTCCTGTGTGTGTTTTCTCGAAGGCTCGTATTGCAGGCTGTTGCGATATTCTTGGTGTTAAGAAGTGTTGGGAAGTGTTGCACGCTCGGTAGGGGGTAGAGGTAGAAGAAGGAAGAGTATACTGTAGCAGCGAAAGTTTAAATATCTTCGTATGACTTGTCATGTTTTGAGTCGACAGTGGTACTGTCAGTATGTGTAGTCGCCGACTACTCATTTCGGACGCGCTTCCATCATGGTGGTGATGACACCTCTCTTATCGTCCATGACTCCAGCAGCAAGTGCGATGAGTTCAGGGTGTCTCTGACTAGAATACCTTCTTAGTGGGACAATATCTCGCCGGAATGACATACCAAACAGAGTCCAGCGCGTCTCATCGGCAACTCTTGCCAAGATGACGAGTCGCATACCAAGTGACTAGCAGTGATCGTACTTTCTAAAGCACCTTATTCAAAAAAGCATCACGAGAGCGGTGCGGACCTGAAGGATAGCCATACAACTTGGGAACACGTAAAAACTTCTAATCGACGAGAACGATCGGTTGACTGCTAGATTACAGCACTACGGAATTCACCGAGTATGCTCCGCCTTAGCTATCTAGGGATGTTGTCCGGAAGACACCTTGTCTCGTTTCTTGCCCTGATTTGCCTTTACGTGACTTTTCTCACCTTCAAACTCCTCCCCACTCTCCTCTTCATTCTCCTCATCATCCACATACACATACACATCCTCTTCGCTCTCCTCCTTCTTTATATACTCGTCATCGTATGCCTTTAGGCTTTCATTCATCCAGTCCAGGAGAAATCCGCACGCCTTGATATCTGATTCGCAGATTTTGGTCATTGTAATAACTGCCCTCGGACGTTCAGTCCCATGACGTTGAATCCTCAACTTGTATGTCATGTCAGTTTCACCCCCCAATCTTTGTCCACGGATGTCGGCTTCTCGGAGCATGATCTCGACCTTCAGGGCGAGTGCCAATCTCCTGAGAGCCTGCTCCTCGTTGGAGCCTAAAATCTTTTTCTTTTCAAAGACCGAATCCCCGTTTTCGTCGATTATATCGGCTTTGAACTTTGGATCTTGTGGTTTACTTTTGTAAATAAAAACGATGTAGATGGCGATATCCGTGTTCATTGACTCGAGTAGTTCTGCTTTCTTTTAGCTTTGCGTCCTCTATCTCGACCGGGGTACTTCTACCTCGTATCTTCTTTGCCTCCGGCTTGTAGCGCTCTTCCAGTTCTTTTGGGTTAAACGTGAGGATAAAGTTCCTACCCTGATCGGCACCATTACGATGTTCTAAGGTCATATCGCTGGCTTGAAAGTCGCGTTTATCAGCTACTGATGGGATAGAGGGGTTCGCAGTACTGAGGAAGACGATTTGAAGTTCGCTGATCTAGATTTGCTGCTGGCTGGTTATATGGATTAGAAAGGGGAACGTTTCTCGAGGGATTAAATACCATGCTCCATCATGACTCCAAAGGGAGATGCGTCGTCTATGTGAGGTGGTCTTCTACTCATCACGCCTTTGAGGGCGGTGATACATACCCCTCATGAATATGTGGTGATTTCGAACGCAGTCATGTATGAGTATCTCGGCTCAGACCGACAGCGAATTGGATGATGGTCATAAATGACTGTCGATTCTCGCATGGCATCTGCGTACCTCTCTCCGCCGCATGTAACTGGATAATGTACCCGTCTTTTTACTGAATGAGAGTCGTTTAAGGCGAGTTTCGAGGCGTATCTTGTGCGGCTTTGAAAACAATCATTTCAGGATCACCGCGCAAAGGTGTGAGAGTAGACGCCGTTCGTCTGGAAGAGACAAGGTGCGACATAGAGAACGCATCTTGTACGCAGTGATGGCAGTGAAGTAATGAGTGCGAATCACGATTTTGCGTGTCAAGCCCTGCGCGATGTTGAAATCGTAGATACCTAGGTATCCAGGTAGGTCTCGAGAGATGTGTCGAACTCCACGGTGACTGTATTCATGTATGACTAGGTCCACAGCGAAGGACACCATTGAATGACTGTCAATACTTCCCGTACGCTTGCACGGTTCCCGTCCACATGCCATGTGCATTTCAACGTTTCGCCGGGTAGCTTTTGCCCCGTACGAAGGTCCCACAATCAATCCTTCCGAGCGGCCCGAGCGGGCAGGTTGCATGCGACAAGCTTCCCAAGCTTTCCCACGCAATTTCGTCGTCTGCGATGCGAGTTACAGAAGATTCGAAGGAAGAAAATGCTGGAGGCAGAATCTGGATGACTGACGCAAAGTCACCAACTCAGCCGCACCTTCCGCTAACGTTGGGCTTCTTCCTGACAGGCCGGACCCCTCACGGTGCAACCCTCGCCACACCTTCAGCTCGCCCACATGTCCCAAAATAACCACGCAACGACCGCCACGCACCCAATCCGTCGGAGCGATGATTCTTAAGCTTCTACGGCCATCGACCGGCGCGAGATCTATGCGCTCATAGCGCATGCGAAGAGGTAAAGCGCCCGCATCTGGGCGATGGTTTAGACCTGCGCACGCTCCACCCCGTAAACGGCGTCATACCTCTTCGTGTTCGGTGATGTCGGCTCCAGCTTCACGCTGCAAATTTGCTTAGCATGGTGGTACTTGTACATCACCGTGCTTTAGAGCTCGAGGCTAGGGTAAGCGTACATGCTAGGAGCTGAGGGTGAGATGGAATGCTTAAAGTCAGCCTTCGGCCTTGTCACGGCAGGAGGTATAGCCTCGCAACATAAGTCAAACAACACCTCCGAAATCCAAGAGAAGGCATCATGGTAGCAACTCATATGTTGAAGGTCTTGTTACCTGTCGCTGCGTTCGCGAGCTATGCTGCGGCAGAGCAATGCGCTGGTGGTGAATGGGACGTTATCGTCGTTGGTAAGCTCGAACATTCGCATTCAAAATCTGACATCAAAATTGACGTCCTCCAGGTTCTGGTCCAGCGGGTATCGTCACAGCGGACCGCATGAGCGAAGCCGGCAAGAAGACTCTACTCCTAGAGCAGGGCGGCCCGTCGTACTACGTGACCGGCGGTCGTGCTCGCCCAGAATGGCTAAACGGAACTGAACTCAGCCGCGTTGATGTTCCCGGGCTGTACAAGTCCATCTTCTCGAATTCCGGTGAAGGAAACTTGACATGCGCGTCTGATGTCGTCAACGCGTTTCAAGGGTGCACCGTCGGCGGCAACTCCGCAATCAACGCTGGACTGTTCTTCCAGCCACCAGCGAGCGATTGGGATCGCTACTTCCCCAAGGGCTGGAAGAACGATGACATGCAATGCGCAATCAACAAAGTCCGAGCGAAACAACCGAACACAGACAGTCCTTCAAGAGACGGAAAGAGGTATCTGCAGAGCGGTTACGACGCTGCGAAGCAATGGCTCGTTGATGGCGCGGGTTTCGCGGAGGTTGGCCTGAACGATGGCATCGAGAACCACAACAAGACCAAGGTATTTGGCCACCCAATCTGGTACTACGAGAATGGGCAAAGAAGTGGTCCGGTCAAGACCTACCTGCAGTCCGCCTTGGCGCGCTCGAACTTTGCCTTCCAAACCGGCACTAAAGTCTTGCGTGTTCGTCGCGACGGCGGCGTAGCGACTGGCGTCGACGTTCAGACCAACGGAGCAGAGAACTCTTCCAGCATCTGCATCAAAGAAGGCGGCATGGTCATCTCTTCAGCTGGTGCCCTCCTTAGCCCCCAGCTGCTGATGTGGTCTGGCATCGGTGAGGCAGCGACCTTGACAAACCTCTCGAAGAACGGTCATGTCACTGTTCCTTCTCAGGACTGGATCAACAACACTGCTGTCGGCAACGGGGTCTTCGATAACCCAAACACCTTCATCGAGCTCCAATCTGACGAGATTGCCTCGTATGCTTACGACTACTCCAACCCGCCGCAATCCGACGTCGATCTGTACCTCAACGAGCGCTCTGGACCTTACACATTTGCTTCGCAAACAAGCGCATTCTGGGATTACATCCAGCAAGGCGATGATGTAGTGGGCTGCCAGGGTACCATTGACTCTGCCGGAGCAATGGGTCTCACGCAGAACGGAACCATCACACTCAACGTCTACGGCACCTCTGGTCTCCGATCCGTCGGTCGTGTAAACCTCGATGCCAGAGGTATCGCTCTTCCCTCATCAAACTTCTACGCCGACCCTCGGGATGCAACCGCGATTGCGACGTTTGTCTACAATATCTTCCAGGCTCTGCCGGCTACTCTCAACCCGCTCAACGTTGCAAAGAACTCGACTATCGAGCAGATTGCGACTTACTTGACCACGCCAAGCGCGTTCACACTTGGCAATGTGCAACATTGGAGCAGCAGTTGCAGGATGGAGGCCTGCATTGACACGGATACGAAGGTGATTGGGATGCAGAACTTGTTCGTTATCGATGCGAGTATCGTGCCGCCTCTGACCACGAACCCTGTTATGGGTGTTATGATCGCGGCGGAGAGGGCTGTTGAAAGAATACTAGCGTTGAGCAAGTAAGCGCATGGGGTATAGACTTAATTAATTCACGAATTTCATTTTACTTTCATACAACGCGTTTCTTTCTGTGACAACTGCCGAATAGCTATGTCCGGTAACTCCTTGCATACTCCGGTCTACTAGTGTGCATCCTGTGCCATACCGAGTGTGGGTCTAGGTTACGTCATACAACATCTAATTCTGCAGTACTATATACGCTGCCATTGCAAGTTCTCCTTCTCGAGCATTGAGCGAGTATTTCGATATTTACTACTTGCTATCACCCTTGAATCCAGCAAAACCCATCATGTCCAAAGATTTCGGTGACAGCCGCGCCTCCAATGGTATTAGACCTTCACTCCAGCCTCTCCCCATCATCAGTACGTATCTAACACACATCTACTAGGCCTGAATTTCGTCGCCACAGACCGTCACGACACTTACCCATACATCTCCCCGTCCAACTTCAATCTCCAAGGAAAGCACGTCTTGATCACCGGTGCCTCAAAAGGCGTCGGCCGTGCCACAGCCCTAAGTTACGCAAAAGCAGGTGCCTCAGGCATCATACTCGGTGCACGATCCGACCTCTCCACCGTGGTCAAAGACGTCCAAGCCGCAGCCAAATCCGCCGGCCGTCCTGAACCACAAGTCCTAGCACTAGACCTCGATGTCACCAGCAAAGACAGCGTAGATGCAGCGGCCAAACTCGTCACCGAGAAGTTCGACGGAAAACTCGACGTCTTGATCAACAACGCGGGCAGTCTCGCCTCTTTCGCCGGCATCCCAGACACCGACCCGGACGAATGGTGGCGCGACTACGAAGTCAGCGTAAAAGGAAGCTACCTCGTAACCCGCGCATTCTGGCCGCACCTCCTCGCCGGCTCCAAGATCATCATCAATATTACTTCCATCGGCGCCGTTATGGTTGTTCCGAAGAGCTCTTCGTACGGGCCAGCTAAACTGGCTTCACTCCGGTTGACAGAGTTCATTGATCAGGACCACGGAGAGGGTAAGGATGGTATGCTGGCTATGGCTGTACATCCGGGAGGCATACAGACAGAGTTGGCGCTGGGTATGCCGGAACATATGCACGAGTGGCTTATTGATACGCCGGAGTTGGCGGGCGATACGTTGATGTGGTTGGGGGCGCAGAGGAGGGAGTGGCTCGGTGGGAGGTATGTTAGTGCGTGTTGGGATATGGAAGAGTTCAGTGGGAAGAAGGAGGAAATTTTAAAGAAGGATTTGTTGAAGATGCGGTTGGCTGTTGGTTTGTAGTGGTAAGACTTGGGTAGATGTGACTATGTGCCAAATTGGCTTTTACTCTTCCTCTCAGATTCCTTGCTCTTGTAGTCTGCCATCGTGAACAATGAGCACCGTAGGAAAGGTCTCATAACCTGATACCAGTAAGGTAGGTACAGCGAACCGAGGTGTGGGACCGCGAAAAAAGTTCTGAACCTTCATCGTTCCTTCCTCCCTCGAACATGTACAACGACGCCTGGTGGTTATAGCAGCAGCGTTCCAATACATTACTACGTACAAAAGGCACAACGTAGCAAGCCGCGGTGACACGGAGTTTTGTTCGTCACAGGCATCAATAGATTGCGAAATGCAGCCACCTTATGTCGTGCTTTTAGCTGCATGAGTAGCTGTGGCTCAGAGCCATCAGAAAGATAGGCCTAAAGGTGCGCAATAATAGCATCCAACGAGACGGCGCGTGAAGCGCAAACGACACTGAAAAGGGATGGAGTTTGGCGAGGGACCGTCGGCACCTCGGGCTTAGCCATGCTAGTGAGGGGCACGGCACTCCCCACCACGACACCTTCCGTCCACCAATCCCGCCAGTGACATCATGCATGCTGCTAGAAAACACCATACGAACCCTTTTGGCCAATTCCACCCTGGCATCGGGACAGGGCAACCGCATTACCTGCATCGCCCTCACGCCACGTTCGCGGTTGTGACTGCCGTCCATATGAGGCGTCCATCCGGACCCTTTGATTGAAGCTGCCAACACTGCATGGTTGGGTCCGCTAGTACCTGTTAATCCGTGTTGCCGGTAGGGATTGCTGCTCAACGAACAGCAATTGTGGGCTCCATCTGGCAATCGTTGATCGGCGGCAGTTTCTGTCTGGGGCTCAGGTATAAGAATCTGCTAGTGCCCCTCTTACTTTTCGCGGTAGGTGCGTCGCTGTTCAGCTTGGAATATATCTGGACTTGTTCTTCACCAATCCCACCGACTGGATTTCTCAGTCAACTTCCCTAGGATACTTGGAATACAGATCCTACCAGAGTCGAGAAGCCGCGACGATGACGAGCAAGCCTATCTTTGTGGCTACTCATCCGAGGGCCTGCTCGACGGCCTTTGAGCGGGTATGCTTGGCTTCGCCGTATCTCGCCCAATTCTGGGTTCTGACAATCCTCTAGGTGTTCATGACCCGTCACGACACACTGCAATGTGTTCACGAGCCTTTCGGCGATGCCTACTACTTTGGACCTGAGCGCCTTGCTGAGCGTTATGAGAATGACCCCAAGGCCAGGAAAGAGTCTGGCTACGAGGACAGCACATACAGGACCATCTTTGATCGCATTGCGAGAGAGAACTCCGAGGTTCGTTCACTAATGCTTTTCATGTTTCTCCTCAGCTTCGTACCATTTCCCCTCAACTTTTCGTTCTTGCGCATCCAATCGATATCTTATATTCGCAATCTCGTCATCTTGGCCGCTATTGCGTGTTGTGTGCCTCAGCCATCCGCCCGCCAGTCAGATCCCTATCAACCCCGCCCCTAGTGCAATCATCCCACACGTTCTTTCGAGCCCATCTTGCACAATATCTCGGTCCTTAAAAGCGAGCGCACCAATTTCAATGAGCCCAACACGACCCCTCGGCTTGGAAACCTCAGGAATGTGGTCTTTCACATGCCCGAAATACCGCCGAAGCATTCCGCTCCCACCAGTTCTTATTGCCTTGACTTCAGCCTTGCGATAGCCAATTTGACGAAGAACTCTGAGGCGCAAAATGTGGCCTCCCAGAAGAACTTCATGCTCACCTCTTACAGGGCAAGCGCGCCTTTATCAAAGACATGGCCCAATACTGGATTCCTCCCGTCGGCAAGCCCGCGACCATCGCACCGTCTCTGTCCAACTACCGTCGTGGCGTAGGAACAAACACCACCGAACTCTCGCCTGTCACCACTCGTAGCGACCCTTCCAAGCCTCCCTACCCATACGACACCAAAGGCGAGCCCAACAACCCGACGGTTATCCCCAAGGATTTGTTGGCAACCTACCACTTTACCTTCCTTATCCGCCACCCGAAATTCTCCATCCCGTCTTACTACCGCTGCACTATACCTCCGCTAGACAAGATGACTGGCTTCTACAATTTCCGTGAGGATGAAGCCGGCTACGACGAGCTCCGCCGCCTATTCGACTACCTGCGCTCTGAGGGTCAAATCGGTCCCAAGTTCGCTGGTCAAAAGGAGGTTGACGCCAACGACCAAGCAAACGGTCACACCGGCGGCGTCGAGATCTGTGTCATTGATGCAGATGATCTGCTCGATAACCCATCCGGCATGATTGAGGCATTCTGCAAGACTACAGGAATTGAGTGGGACCCAAACATGCTCGTGTGGGACACGGAGAAAGACCAAGACAAAGCCAAGGAGGCGTTCGAGAAGTGGAAGGGTTTCCATGAGGATGCTCTGGACAGTGATCGTCTGAGGGAACGCACACACGTACGTTTTGACAGACTATATCATAACAGGATCAGTTGAAAAGAAGACATTTGCTAACAATCAGTAGAAGAAGGAGCCAAAGAGCGACGAACAGCTCTTCGCGGAATGGAAGGAGAAGTACGGCGAAGAGGGCGCGAAGCAGATCCGGGATACTGTTGCCGCTAATGTGGAGCATTACGAGTACCTGAAGCAATTTGCTATCAAGCTATAGAGGACTGTAAGGAAGGATGGACAGAACGAGTGTTTCAAGGCTTCGAATCGTTACCAAAACATATGGTAGATGATAGACCTAGAAGCAAACAATAGGTCAAACTAGCGATAACGAGTTTCATTAGTAAAACACGAACATTTGACTGTAGCTTTCATGTAATGTTCTGCGGTTTTGGGTAGCAGACATACCGTCCATTCCCTTCTCAAACTCTACACCGCCACAGACTTCACCAAAACGTCCCTGATCGCCTCACCAGCCAACCCAACTACGCGCTCGCTTGAACGTCAGCTGACCCGCCCACCCTGCATCGCGGATACGTGCTTACGCTTACCTACATCGTCCATCTTGCATCTAGGCGCCGCCACAATGTCCATCTACCAATCTACTAAATGACAAAAGATCGTTGTTGCGGTGAGTCTCCCCGCCATCAGATCACTACACGCACGTATAGCGGAGAAAGCCGCGCAACGAATGAGTGCACGATAAGGAACATTTCATACTCAGGTAGCAACAAAGGCGAATTAATGCAACAGATACCCCAGGCCCCCGAAGGTCACCGACTCGGCCGCCCCACGAACATGCCGATTTCCTTTCCCGATTATCTCATCTCCTGAGGGTCACAGAAGCGGCGGCCCCGAGAATGTGATTATGTGATTATGGGACGGGGGGCTGGTGATAAGGCTGATCGTGGTTGCAGATGCGGTCGTTGCGATAGGGGGCGACTAGCCTCGTTCTGGGGTACGGGAAAGGAGAATATGTGTTTCAAGATGATGAGGTTTTTTCTTTGTGTGTGTGGACGAGGCCCGAGGTGGTGGACCTTGGCTTAGCGTTGAGGAGGGGGCATGGGGCTGGGAATATATGAAGATATGCGGCCGAGGGAGGCGAGTGGTGCGACGGTCGCAGAAGCGATAGTATTGTTATGACATGGAAGCAGAACGTGACAGCGACCAAACACGTCGTAGTAGTAATATCGATTCCACTAGATAAGTAAGAACAACACAAAACACAAAGAGTCTACTCCGCCATAATATGCCCCAAAGCAATCATGCAACATGTACATCGTCCCCCACCCCCCAAATTGACCCAGTTATAATGATAGAAATACACAAAGGTATCAAATCCGCGAAAGAAAACTCCAAAAGCGCCGAGCCCGGAACACCGACGCTTATCCGTGTGCGTAGAGAATGCGTAGTTTTGCGTGAAGAACGATAGAGATGAGAAAGAAGCTGGGGGAAAGAGATGATCATATGATCATACGCGTATTTGACCAAGTTCGATCTCGCGCCTCCGCTCTTCCCGGCTGAGGTTGCGCGAGTGACTGCCTCGTCCCTCTGTACTGGAAGGGCGATTCTCGCTTCGTCCGCGGCCATATTGTGTCCATTGTTCGCTGAGACTATCCGGTCTGCTGTCTGATCGGTCGCGGCCCCAATCGCCATGTGTTTGTGCGGGTGTGCCCACCAACTCCTGACTGTGCTGGTGCCTTGCCTGTTGTTCCCTATCTTCGGGCAGGTCTATTCTGAATGTGGTGTTTATGTCAGGACTCGGTCGCGGGTCTCCTGATTTGAGGAGGAGAGCCATTTGCTGGTTCACGCGGTCGTCTTCGGAGTATAGGGCGGCGGGTGGCTGCGAGGGCGAGCGCATGGCGGTGGGGTACATGTTTGGGATGAAGTTGTTGTAGTAGTTTTGATCGGACCAGAGGTTCTGGCGTGTGTCGGTTTGTCGCTTCGATTTGACTATGCGGCGGTATGTCCAGAGGAGGAGGGAACTGTAGAGGATTGTTCCGGCGGCGCTGATCACGGTGCCGCTTATGGCGGCATTTCCCCAGTGATAGTTGGGCGAGGAGACGAAGTTGTAGGCTATCGAGATAAGGCCGAGTGCGGAAGATGTGAGCGCAGGTCTACACATGTGGTTAGTATTCCGCTGTTGGTGGAGGCATGGAGGCCTTACAGGAAGACGCCGTCGGCTTGGAAGCGCTCATTGCGACAGGCGAAGCAGAGCAGTGCTGTGAAAGAGTAGCCGGCTGTAAGGAGCGCGACAACAAAGACAGACAGGACTGCTCGGCTGAACTTGAGCTCGTATGTTTCTCTGTAGAGGCCGGGCAGTATGAGGTAGCTTCGAGGCGTTAGCATGCTTTGGTCTGAGCCGCCTCGAGACGCATCGCAAGTACTCACCCTCCGAGTATCATCCATGACGCAGCCAGGGCTATAAGGCGCCAGTACCACGGCGTGCCCTCTCTCTTCTCATGGCCCGACTCGCTGATGTTGTGATAGCTCTTGTTGCTAGAGCGCATTGAGTCGGTGGTTCGCGCCTTGCGCGGCGGGGTGCCTGGTTCGCGTCTCGGGTAGTGCCTGGCGTCTCTGCTATGACTCTCGCGCAGTGGGAGCGAGCAAGCAAGAAGACGTCGGCATGCAGAACAGAAGAGCGCGCACGATGGATAAACGAGTGACTGTGGCAAACGTCGAGTCTAGGTATTGTCGAATTCCAGAATGCGATATGAGCCTCACTGGCGCCTGGCTCTCTGCTATTCAGCCTGACGCGGTGCAGATCGCTTCGGTCCGTCAAGTGCAGGTGGATAGCCGGGGCGAAGCGGCAGGTGCACGGCGCAATGGTTCCAGCTGGTGGGAAAAACAACAACGAGCGACCAGGACAAGATGTCGTTCGTTCTTATTGAACAGCAACAAGAGCAGAGCAGTAGCGAGCGAAGACGTGGGCTGAACGGGCGGTGGGAGAAGAGGGCGCCAACGTGCTCGTACTTCGCTGAGGCGGAGGACGCCTGCATGCCCGCTCAGCCACTCGACGTCCTGCTGAGCATTGCTGCACCCCTGCCGACATGCCCCCCGTAGATCAAGATGGCAGTGAGCATCTCCAATGCAGTGCATTTGACATCGCAATAAAGACTTGCTTGTTGATCAGCGGCTGGGCCTCTCGTCGCGACCATCGCGACTTCTTCCGACACTCCAACAACACCATGATTCAAGGCATCCAGCCCGCGACTCCGCTTCTCTTTGTCTCGCCCGCCTGCCCAGGGCGACCCCAGATTCCAGAACGCGTCACCTCCAATTCCCAGCCAAGCCCTCTGCCCATGTCTGCTCAATCTCGCTGACCCGCGCCGCACCTTGGGTAGTGCAGCTTACTCTATGAGCCACCGCTTCTTCTCTGATTTGCCTGCTTCCATCCTTCACTTTCCCTTCTGTTGCAGCGCTAGCCACTCTGTGCTCTCCGGTAGACACTGTTGCCGGTCAGACATGACGTCGGCGCTCCTATCGCAATGGGAAATGTTGCGACCTCATCTTTGACCTTTTGTCATGGTGTTGCGAGTCGTTGGCGGTATGAGTCGGGGTCATGGCACGGGCAGTCTGCCTGGGTTGGTGTCTACGCGGTTCCGCCTACAATAGAACAAGTCGAACGGCACAGTGTCAGACTATTGATCTTGAGCAGAAGCTCATCGCGTCTGGACTCTGTTATACTACAGGACACTCTCTCGCAGATTTGAGAGATTCACACTCGTCGCGTATAGCAACTTTAGGCCTACAGCCCATTGCATAGCCTCGCGCACGTAGTAACCCAGCGCTACATCGTGGCAGAGTACAACATCACACGCCACGAGAATACTGTTCTACGCCGATAGGTTACGGCATGAGCCGACGGTTCAGCCTCCACGATACCCGGATCATGGTGACGGACATGCGCGAATGGGCGTCAACACTGCCTTTTCTGGCAAACATCTTGTGCGCTCCCCTCCCCACCTAGACAGATTCGATTGATCTGCATATGTCTCGCGATGAGAACATACTGCATCTTTCATGACTCAATTCGAATTCATACAACGATGGAGCGTTCCCTCGATCTCCGTTCTACACAATACACGTATGCGTATGTGGCAAGATGCGGTATCATTCGCGATGCTGATCCGCGCACCTGGTTCGAGCTGCAGGGGCAGCTTCCAGTGCCTCACATGGGCATGCGTGTCATCGGTAGAACCTCACCGCATCTTACCTTACAGTACACACTCATCAGCTATAGGTCCTTCCGCGATCTCACTGCCTGAAGATTCGGGATCATTTCTTTCGGGGTCTCCGCTAAGAGACCCGTTGGCGCTTCGGGTTCAGGGGCAAGGCACTTGCGTTGATGTCGGATAGTCCGAGGAATACTTGATAAGGATAAGACGTGATGATTGAAGCAGGCAGCGGGCATCGATTCTGTCGTTGTTGTGATGTTTTCAGGTGTTTGTTACGGTTTGTGAGTGCCGAGAATTTAGGGCTGGGGATGCAGGTGCAGGTGCCACCGGTCCGGTTCATGCCCCACCTGGAAGCGGGAACCTCGTCTTCTTTTTCAATCGATTCCCTGTGCAGGAGCATGAACAGCTCAGCGCGTGAGGTAGAGCCATTCGTCCAATTTTATTTCTGTTAGTAAGGAATGTCCTTTCATCGATCCACCTACTCAACCATCTGGTTGATCAATCTTCAGTAGTATAGTGGTCAGTATTTCCGCTTGTCACCTATCAGGCAACTCGCGGGAGACCGGGGTTCAATTCCCCGCTGGAGAGCTCATTCTTTTTGGATGTTTTTGCCGCTGTATGGAACATAAGAAGGCGCGATCGAGGTGAGAGTTGGTGCTTGTGGTTCGCCTCTTCCAAACCTCAACCACCACAACTCCCCACCTTGCCGATCATTGCAGCGCGACGGCGGCCTTACATCTTTTTGAACATTAACAGTGCTGTCTCAAGATGTTATCGGAGCTGGGAGTGCTTCTGCAGCATACGCGACGCGGAGCGGCATGCTTCTTTTTGTTGCGCCGTGCTGACGAATGCCACCGCATCTGAGCAGCTTCCTGGCGCGATTGTCTCCTTATGTCATCACATTGTCGACGCATCAACCTACACAAATCCATTCGAAAACTGTTGCTGTCACAGTCGGACGCGAAGACGCGTTTTTGAGGATTCGTAGGTCTCGTCAGCTGCACCTAGTCTTCTTATGTGGAGGAGCCTCTGGTCGCCCATCCAGCACGCATTTCAAATTGTCCGAACACTCCGTGGCATGTCTTCGATATCACGCGGTTTTAATTTCTCTCTGGCGCTTGACGAATCGATAGCACCGCGGGTCCGCTCTGGTCCTGGACCGATATGAATCTTAGATACACCGCAGGTGAATCACGGCTGGCGCTATTCAACACGGTGTTGACCATGCCAGACGCAACCGCGCGCAAGGTGATGCGGCTTTGATGGAACTCAGCCATGACAGTCTATCTCGAAGTTGCATTGTCTGTGTACAACTCCTAGCGTAGAGAGGCAAGATGTGACTGGGGATACCGCCTTGTCCAAGATTCCCTGGCGAGTGCGGACGAGTCCAGCATCCTGCAGGTGGTCGTCGCCTTGTCAGTGAAAGCTAACACTCGTCACCTGTTGTTTCATTAACGCATAGTCAGGTCACGGTCTAGCTTTCTGTCACTACCTCAAGCACGAGCTCCATTCACGCCTGGTCTGAGCGTTTAGTGGAGTTTTACACGCCTGTTCCATATAAACACCCCCTTTTGGCGAGCAACTCTCACTACACTGGCTCTCTTCTCTACTTTCTTAAAAATATCCGAGAAACGCCTTCATTCTCACCCCTACGGCGCAACTGGTTTGTTTCACACTCAACCCACATTCTTGAACTGCCTGCTCACTGTTTCAGATACCTTTGTTCATAGTTCTGCCGCAACTCAACCAGACCCAGCTGCACAGTAACAAAATCGAAAGCTTTCAGCCAGTCACATACGCAGTTAACAAGATGTCTGCTATTAACACTACCCCTGATGCATCTGGTGCGGTCACCGTTGACAGCACTAACACCAACACTCCTGTTGACGCCAAACAAGAAGCTCTCCAGAAGAAAGCCTCCGAGAACGAGGCCAAGCGCATTGAACAGGTTGCCATTCAAAGGCGGAAGTCCGAGATGGCCAAGAACAAGGCCGCGCAAGAGCTGGCATCCAAGGGCAAGAACGCGGTTCTCAAGGCCCAGCCTAACCGACCTACACGTCGACCTGTGAAGAAGAACCGAAAGCCGCTTCCCCCTCCTGCCAATCGGACTCACGAGAGCGAAGCAACTATGGAGAAGACGAAAGCTAGCGCTGAAGAGAAACGTCTTGCCCCTCTGCGGGTTGTTCGCCCAAGCTACAGCTACAGCGACATCGTCGAGCAGCGCATTGTCGACGGCGTGGTTGAGCGCATCACTCATACCAAAGAACCTACCTTCCAGTCCGCTGATGCGCCCAAGACTGCGCAGTCTGACACTGACATTGAGTCAGATAGGGCCACGGACCCCGATACTGAGTCAGACGAAGACGCTCCTCAGTTCGTCCAAGAGCTTGCCTCTCCTGAGCAGGTTACTGTCCCTGGAGACGACGACAACTTTGCCGAAGCTTCCAGTATCACTGCTCTGCCCCACATCTACATCACTGCTCCGATAGATGATGCGGATGAGGAACCTCCGATGAATGAAGATCTGGCCGAGGCAATTGATACGTCGTCCGAGCCGACCAAGGAGACTGGCGCTGAAAGGTCGACTTGTAGCCCTTCGGCGATTCTGTCCATGCCAAACTCGACTCTTTACCCTTCGCGCCTATCCCGCGACGAAGAGGCTAAGTTGGTCGCTATGCACGTCGCGCCCATCGTACTGCCGGTCGCTGAAGCCAAGCAGCAGAAGCTTAGCAAGGCTGGAAAGAAGGCCGCTAAGACATCTGAGGCATCTAAGGAGGTGGCTACAGTTGGCTCCGACTTGACCCAGGAACCTCCGGAACCCAACTCTGCCGAGATTACGATAGATATTGTTGAGCCCATTGTCTTAACCGAAGAATCCGCATACGTCGCGACACTTCTAGCGAGGCCCAATGGCTCTGGTGTGATCTCAGAGGACCGCGATCTCCACGAGAAGCTCATCGCGCTTCATGTCGCTCCTCTCTCGCTGCCAGTCACTGCACCCAAGCAGCAGAAGTTCAACCGCAAAGCTACCAAAGCCAACCTCCAGATGTCTACTCCGATTGAGAAGAAGGAGCCTGACTTTATCGCCTCTCTTCTCTCCAAGTCTAACGGCCAAGGCGAGACCCAGGAGGCGCGCGGCTTTCATGAGAAGCTGGTTGCGCTTCATGTCACTCCTCTCTCGCTACCGGTCATTGCGCCCAAGCAGCAAAAGACCTCAAAGACCGAGAAGAAGGCTACTAAAGCTGACAAGAAGAATTTCGTCGCTACGGAGAAGAAAGAATCCGACTTTATCGCCTCTCTTCTCTGCAAGCCAAACGGCCCGGGTGAGGCCAAAGAGATTCGCGACTTTCACAACAATCTTGTGGCTATGCACGTAGCGCCACTCGACTTTTCGGTTTCTGTACAACAGGATAAGAATAAGGAAGCCGAGAAGGCCAACAGGTATATTGAGACTTGGACCGCTGACCCTGATGCCGTTGATCCACTGATCAGAAGCATGGTGCCTCCCATTACTGAGGAGCCTATCTCTGCTGTTGAGAAGCTGAGTACAGATGATGCAACGCGCGACGAGCCGTCTGTCGTCATTGCGACTCCCATCCATGGGTTCTGGCAAACTGTTCTCTCCAAGACCCCTGCCGACGAAGCCACCACCGTCGAGCAAACCGTCATGATCCCCGACTCCGCCCCGACCACCACCCCTACGACCTCCGATAATAACGACTCATCCTCGGAGTCCGACACCATCAAATCATTCAGAACCTCCTCAACGCACTCCACCCCCTCCATCCGCCACGCAGCCTCAAAAGCACGCACAACCCTCCTCGGCGCCACCTCGCTAGAAACCTTCATCACCACCCTCGACTTCGAACTCTGGGATGGCACAACAACCAAAGAAGACATCTGCGAGGCTTTCGCTTCCTTAGCCGGTCACCCCACAACTGCGACTACTGGTCTGGATACCGCTAAGACCCAGCGGAAGATCAAATTGGGTAGTACTTCCCTATACGCGTTCCTGCGGCAGATCACGTTCATGGAAGATGAGGTGACGGTTGTGGGGGAGGTGATGAGGGTGTTTAGGAAGGCGGCGGGGGATCAGGTGACGGAAACGAAACTGGAGGTTGCGCTGTGGCTTGCGGAGGAGACGGATGAGGGCAGTCAGCGAGGCAGGCGGTCAAAGCGGGCTTCTCTGGCTGGTGGGGTCTAGGTGCGATGTTGTGGAGGTGGCTTGGATACTCACGATATGGCGTGAGTGGTTTGGCTGCTCCTTTCGTGTGGGGGGGGGGGGGGGGGGGGGGGGGGGGGGGGGGGGGGGGGGGGGGGGGGGGGGGGGGGGG